GGCAAAACAAACATGGAGAATAAATCACAAAAGCTTTTGTAAATTGTCCCAAAACACTGTCTTTTGTATTGTTTGATGATTTTCAGTAATTTATTTTGTGGCCTCACCATTGTGACATACCCTCAACTGTTGGACCACGGAAACACACTTTTTCAAAACATCTTCTCTCCTTCTCTCTTTAGACAAAATAGAGTGAGAGTGAGAGGAAAAAACACCCCTTCAGTTAAAGACTGAAACGAAAGATTGAACTTCATCGTGACAAACAGAAACTGACTCACATTTCTGATCTCCGGGGTCTGAACTTCAGCGGGATGCCAGCGATTGAGTCGGGACAGGAATTGGGAATGACTGCTTTGACAGCAGATAGGCGCCGGGCCTGTGGCGAGGGGGAAGGGGGGGGGGGGGGGGGGGGGGGGGGGGGGGGGGGGCAAGGATTGACAGCCACTTTGTGCTAATGGCTCGACGGTGTCACTCTTCCCGTGGTCTCACACTGATGACATCATTGCTCCAGGCAGGCACGTGTCACAGTGGGTTGTTGAGGAAATCCATCAAATCTTCTGCTTCTGCTGCATAAATGAGTCTGAGTCGGTATCAATCCAATCAAACACATTATATCTCTGACTGTGTTTTCATTGTCATAATGAGTCTGTTGAGTTATTTCATTAGAGGAGAAACATGTCTGCTGGTGATGCCTCCGCACTCTGTCCCTATCCCTCCAGTAGATGTTGACATTAGTCAGAACATGTGGGGGGGGGAAACTTTTTATTCGAACTGTAACACACAAAGTTCAAATTCAATATGTTGTCGACAAATTATTCTTACCATCGCTAGTGGTAGCAGTTAAAATCACTGAACCAAAGGAATCTATTTCTGGGTTTTAAGGAATTAAGGATTTAACGTTTGCTTCTAGTCTCCAGCAAAGCAAATTTAGAGTTCTTGCTGGGCCTCTGCTTAACTCTTTACCCAGCGGAGTACCTCCCTCCTAATCCCTTTATGTTTCTTTAAGGAAAACTGTTGGAGTTTGAGCCTCTGTATTATTTTCCGAAAGGATTTCTGGAAGCAGGACTTACAAAAACTTGAGCTTATTACTCAATGAGCTTATTGCAAAGTTGTTGAAGTGGCCTCAGAGAGTAAAGCCACCAGTGTGAGTCCTAACTCCCTTCACATGCACTTCAGCACATCCACCATGGATTCTTCCTTCAATAAAAAAAATCCCAAATCCACTCAACGCACACACAAATGTATAATTCCTTCACTTTCACATTTGAGCGTGAAAAGTTGTGTCATCATTTCAAATGCTCGCCAAATGCTAACGAGGCTTTTGTGCAGGAGATTAACGGCCCCTCAAGGTCCCGACAGACTGAACCACGGATCTTTCAGAAAGAGCTCAGAATATGACACGTCGGCCCTGAACTGAAAACAGGAGGACACACCGCATTAGCACATGGAAATAGATTTCCCCGTTGATGACTCATTGGTATGGACGCTGGCACCGGTTCAGCATTGCCGTGACACTGTGTTTGAGAGCGTGTGTGCACTTTAATCACCATCACCATGACAAAAGGTGAAGCTCGAGTTCGAATAAGAAGCGGTGCCATCGGTGTTTTCGCGCTGTTGTGCAACCATTTAATCAAATTCAAATTTTCCCAGTTGAAAGGAACTGGTAAACACTGAGAGTGCCGAAGCTATTCAAGCACGGCTGAATGAGTTGCTGAGGTTTGTCTGTGGAGTCAAACGGAACGTTCTCGCCTTTTACATCCACTGACAACTGCATTTATAACCCACAGTGTGTTTTGTTTCCAGGCAAAGGATAAAGGATCAAAAAGCCAGATTTATTTCTCATGAAGTGTGAAACATGTTTGAGATGTCACACAGTGAATAATTTAAAACTCAACCAATCAGTAAGAGACGTGTACCTGTTTTGATAATCAATTCAATATTTAATTGTTCTGCTGAATACTGGATGTAAACGCTGGTTCTAGTGTTTTTAACGACAGTTCAGCATCACTCTTCAACTTGCTGGACCTGATTCTGACAATTGAAGCTGTTAGTCAGTTCCACACTTCTCACAGGAGATCGTACCCACTCACCAAAATAGAGTAAGAAGAGATGTTTTGGTGCATGAGTTGTAGAAAAGGAAAAAAGAAACATTCTCCCAATTCCAAGAAACATCAAACTAATTTTAAAGCTGCTGTTTTAAGGTAACTCAAACAGTGACACAAATAGGATTTTTAAAGGGGGGGGACCATGTCTCTATACGAGGAAATGACATAACTGTCTTTACTTAGCATATAAGCGGCCCTTATAGCTAAGAGGATAAATGACACCAGGAAGGACTGAAAAAGCTGCAACAACCCCGATCACTTATGTTCCCACATCATACGTTAAATTTTACATCACATGCGGAAGGCGGTGTCAGTCAGATTGATGTGGAGTTATACAAAATGTCCTCCCAAACCTTTCACAAGCAGAACACAAGCCAGATTCCCATGAAGGCCAGCTGCCTCCGGGCCTCTTTCAACTGAAGTGACCCGCACTGTGCCTGACTGTCACCAGCAAAATGATTATTGCATTTCGCTGAAACAGGGTGTGCGCTGGATATACATGTGTGACAGGCAGCACAGAGCAGCCCCCCCAAAGACTGTGCGATTATTGTTCTCTTTTAACTTTGAAACTCAGTTTAGTTTTCTCAATAAGTTTAGGTCTGAGCAAACACTCAGATCTGAGATTAGAGTTTGTCTTTGCCCTGCAGCTTGTTCAAGAGAGTGTCTGTAAATACAGACAGACGACGCACCTCCACTTTCTCCCACTATCCAGAAATGAAGACACAGTGTCCAGAAACCATTTTATTAGACGTGTACTTTTACTTATTAGTTTGGTCCATGTCCCATCCACTGGAGGAGGCAGAGTTTCAGACCTGTGCTGCACCCAGCCACCAGGGGGCGATCAGAACGCTTTCGCTTGACTTTTGGAGCCTGTCATGTTGATCATTTTTATATTAAGTCTGACTTTATGTGAGACAGTGACAGTTTCTGTTATTGTTGAAGCATTGGGTCTCTGATTACACTCAGATGTAGACAAAAACATATTTTGACTGTAACAAGAAGATTTGATCACTAATTAGCTCTGAGGTGATTGATTAGTTTAATGTTTTCAGCTGACACCGAACACTAGACATAACATTTCCCTTCCTAATTTATTTTCTACACCAGTGGGAGTTTTTTTGTGTAGCTGTTCATAGCGGTGATGTGTAGTTTTAATACTGCACAGTCACGGTTGCCCAGAAGTAGCAATTATCTCTCACTCAGTTTCCCTTGGACACAGTAACTGGCGCCCAGATTTTAGGACACCAGCAAAGTGCGTCAAGCTCTCTCACAGATATTTGCTCATGCTTTGTGTCTCGGCCAGTCTGGGTTATTCAAGGAGTTTGTTATCTTGGGTCGCCTTCGTGCGTTCTCCCACACACAGGGCCCAACTTTTTCTAGCCCCCTGCTATCACTAAATATACACGCTCTCTATCAAACCCACGCAGGATCATGAAGAAACGTACAGTTTAATATGTAAGAGGGTGGAGGCAGATGGAGACAGTGAACACATCACATCAACATGCACGCACCCAAGCTCGTGCACTGTCGCACAGATTTGGATGTTTTGGACTCGAGAGGAATGTTGAAGTCCGGCCAGAATTCAGACAGCTGTGCCTCCCAGAATCAGAGTCTTTTAATGGACTGTCCATTACGAGGACTCGACCTTTGGTCCAAGTGACTTTCTGAGCTGGGTTTCCTCGTTCTGCTCCTTCCTTCTGGTTGGATGATGAAGAGACATTCCATATTCCAACGCTCATTCTTGGAGTACTTTTGTTTTCTTGAAAACATAACAACAGAGGGTGTTAGAGACATGCTGCGTATAAATTGAATGTAGATTAAGTGGGTGGAGGCAGGACAAAAAATAAATCGTGTGGGCTGAGGTTTTGCAGAAACTCACACTCAAAAACGTTCACTGCTATTTTAAAGTGATGGAAAATAACTATGTCATCCAGTTAGATTTAAAGCCTCAGAATAAGAAATACTTCATCATTTTGTGTTTGCGTTCGGGCTTGATGACAATTCTGACAGAAAGAAAAACTTGTGTGTGACATTGACAACTGACATTCCATGGTGAGGTTGTTAGAGACACTTCTTGTGTGGACAAGATAAATAACTGTCACTTGTTTTAAATGGTCTCTCTACTAAATGGCCGTGATTAGCTGTTCTGCTCTTTTGGATAACATCATTCTTATGTACATGTATTATTTTAATATATTGTGTTACGAAATTTGGTCCAGTCCTTTTTAAATCAAAGCACTTTAATAGCGTAGCGTAGGGATGGAAAGTACTGGTGATGCTGCTCCATCATCTGCTATAGAGAGGTAATGTGAATTCATTTAAAATAATAAATACCAGCCATAAATGATATTAAATTTTGGGGTTGATATAAAAGATTTTAAGGTGCTTATAGAAGATATAAGGCTTCCACCTCCATTACAAAGACAATAAAAGAGGATCAACCCCATAAAGATTTCACTTGACATGATTTGTCTCTATCGCCAAGAGAATAAGACGATAAAACCACCTGAAATATACGTCCCACGTGGCCGCATGTAATAAAGCACCTGTCATTATATAGCATAAGAGGGAGTGGAGAAGTGTGTGAGGAGCAGATAAATTAAATGCACACGTTTTGACAAGTTTTCTGTGTCAACACAAAGGCAAGAAGGCAGGTCAACCGCATGAGGCTGCAGAGCCTGTAAAACGATCCTCATAGTCTAAGCACATCCTCTGTGCTGGGGTCCCCTTTCTGCCAGGATCACACACACACACACAAGCACACACAGATACACACTCGTCCGTGCACACACTCACATTCCTCTGCAGGCTCTGCAAGGGGCAGGCGCAGTGTGTTGGAAGCTGTTCTTCAGAGTGAGCGTCTCTCTCACTCTACCCCAGTCGTTAAGTCAGACAGCAAAGGAGGAAGGGACGGCAGAGAGACCAAGGGAGGTCTGACGACACCATCTCGTCTCACCTATTCTGAATGCACAGACTGATGAATGCAAGCACGCAGCCTGGTCACATCTGGCTCTGATTTATTCTGGAGGAACATCAAGGCTTTAGTTGTCACTCAGTGTGTGCAACTCTTTCTCTGCCAGGACCAAATCTTAAAGGAGCTTTGGGAACATAGCATGTTGCAAGTGTCCACGGCAGGAGTGTGCAGTGGCTTTCAGTGCCAGAGGTCCAATGTAAGGATGGAGAACAAATGTTCCAGGCTAACGGTGTTCATCACCGGTTGCTGATCCAGCCTCAACAGGGAACATCCAACAAAACAAAGAACAAGACGAAGAAGAAGAAGAAGCAGCTGAAGAGACAAGAACTTTATTCACCAGCAAACTTTTTTTTCCTCCAGGGGTGAAAGATGTTGTGGTGCAACTTTGACCACCACTTGCTCTCACTGGCAGCACTTCTAGTAATTGTGAGCTGTGGAGGAGGGGAGGAAAGGAGAGGGACGGATAGCAGCACCAGCGGCACAGGTGGCAGCAGCAGCAGCAGCAGCAGCAGCAGTGGGTCAAGTGGTAGCAGCAGTAGTAGTAATTACAGCAGCAGACGCTTGCATAAGATCCAGCATGGCCAGTGCACCTACACCTTCATCCTACCTGAGGAGGATGCAGCCGGAGGAGGCGCCTGCAGGGAGGCGAAAGCCGGCAACCCCCAGTACAACGCCAACTCTCTGCAGAGGGACGCTCCGCCACCTGAGCCAGAATTTCCCAACCAGAAGATCCAGCAGCTCGAGCACATTATGGAGAATTATACCCAGTGGCTGCAGAAGGTAAGGACAGACGCAGGTGGTGTGCAATGGACTTGGCTCCAAAACTTATATTTTAATGAGTAAATGTTTCAAAATCTATTTCAGGACTTTAACTTTAAGGAGAATCAACTTAGTGGTGAACTGCAAATGAAATGTTGATTTTTTAAATCATATCCAAGCATCTGTATCATCGTTGCATAAGATGTGTGTATCTGTTTCTTTTGAAGTGCGCTGTTGGTCCACAGTTTGTTGAGATATTTATGTTGCCGTGGGTGTGTGTGGTCTCCGCAGAGCGTCTGTTTGTGGCTTCGCTAGATAACTTGTTTTGGTTTCTGAACGAGGCTCTCAGACCCGGACAGGGAAGTGTTTGCTGTTTTCTCGTAGTCGACGTGTTGTTTGTCAAAGCGTCTGTCAGTAGGAGAGTTTGTGTGCTTTGGGAATCAAGGTTTTTTTAGTGTTTTGTGCTGTGTGACCAAAAGATGATGAGGAAGACATGTTGACAGAGATAAAAGAACTGAGGAGAACGCATATCGTTGTTTTACAATTACTGGATAGCACAAAAATACATGCACAGTTAAAGAAATCGGTTTTATCAGGATTTAAAATATGCAGCTGACAATATAGAAGACAGAACCTCCATCACAATTTGTGTTAACTCTGCTGTGTCGTTACAAACGAGGTTGAACTTTTTGTTCTGGCTGTCACGCAGCTGACCGAGCCTCAGTCTCTAACCGTCCAACATAAGAAACTTATTTTTGTCCTCGTGCTTTCTCTCAGTTTCTTTCTCAGTAAATTCCACAGATGTCCAGTTGAGTTGTGCAGAGCGTCGGTCACAGAGCAGAGGTAGTTGTATGTCAGTCACCCCCTGTTCTCCAGTGGGCTGTCTCTTTAATGGCAGGAAGTCAGAGAGCGTCCCCAGAGACACTAAGAGGAAAAGACACACACAGAGAGAGAGAGAATGCTTCCTTTATTTATTCAAGGATGTGTGAGTATAACTGACCAAAACAAACATAATCCTCATTATATCTGAGCTCGCATGATGTTATTTAATTACTGCTGAATGACAAATTTCACCTATGTTCAAATATGGTTCTACCGCTAATGTTAATAAGTAGTGAATTTTGAGGCCCTGGCAGCCACCCTGCTTTTCTAAGCTTTGAGACTTTGTGTCTCCAAAGAGAGCGAGACTGTCCCTCTGAGATGAGCTACACCAATCAAATAAACAATCTTCCAAATTCGGTGGCACCGGCTCCTCTGCTCGCTCACTTTTCCACTATGTTGTCCCTCTCAAATAAGATTAGCAGGTCCGATCTGTGAAGTAATTGCTTACGGCTAAATGGTTTATTTTTTGTCGGCAAAGCGCGAAGCAACTGCACGCACAGATAACACCTGATGGTTTTGATGGATTACAGTGGAACCGGGGGGGATTAATCAACCTGAACGTCATCAATACCCCGAGTCTATTCATTAGCAATCCTCCCTAATCTGTCTGGACTGCCCCTGCTGCAGGCCTGCTTTTCATTTACTCTCCGAAAAGTAAACTTTTCTCTGCTCAGGTTGGAGGAAATAGTCATTCCTCATCAATTAACCAGGCGCTGGTCGAGGTACATTACAGCAAGATGTTGATGGAGGTTATATTTAGGGAGGTGGAGTGTCGGAGGCTACTCCACCCTGTTCGATAAATTCCTCCATAAATGTCTAAATCCAAGTGAAATGTTATATGAGAGAGATTTTTAGATTAGGGAGCAGAATCTGTTTAACATCATCTTATCGCTGGACTGTAGATCACTGTCTTTATCTTAGTTGAGCAGAAGGAATTTACTGTACATGGTGTTTGTCAAGCTGGAAGACGTGGTGTATTGCAAGGTTTTACATGTAAGTGGGCACAAAGGCTGAGATATGAAAAATAGGCAACAACAACAAAAGAACAAAGACTTCTTACACTTTTTTATTGATGATGAAAAAGTGTTCCTGCATGGCTCCCAAAAGCGATCCGTGTGTCAAGCAAGGCCAGGGGTGAAATAACACCGGCTTTATCTTTGCTCAGTGGACCTCGATAGTACAAGTGATACTAAGAAAACACAGCGGCAGCACTGGTAGACTGAAGGTTTGACTAATGAGTCCTCCAGAATAACTTTCTCCTTAGATGTAAAAATGGGAGCATGTTGAAACGTCTGCCATCTGCTCTGATATTATCTTCCCCAACATAGATATTTTCCTCTTAAGATAGAAAAAGTGAATATTATATAATAAGACTACAGGATTATATTTTAAAACCTGTGATGATCAGAAATAAATTAAATTCCCTGGATACATGTGATTAAAAATGGAAAAACAAGCAAAAAGTCAGATCAGCACAAGAATGAAACAGGCATTTCAGGGGATGCTTAGACACACAGTGGTAATTCAGGCTAATTACAGTGCATGGAACACACACATACACACACACACACACACACACACACACACATCAGGATGTAGTTAACATTTTTCATTAGACAGAAGATTAAGTGTCCGGGCCAGTCTATCTATCTTAATCACACCAACGTTTTAACTGCTTGTCTGAGAGAAAGTCTGCTGTGATGTTGCTGCAGCCAGGCCTGATGAAAGAGAAGGATGGAGCAGAGATAGCAGCGCCCTGCCTGGGTGGTGGGGGGTGGTGGACAGTTAGAGTGATGCAGCAAACAGCTGTTAGAGGAGCATTTTAAGTCACAGCTCGTTCCTTCCTCGACCCTGGGCAGAGTATATGGACCCTGATAACATTCCTGACCAGTCAAAGGTGGCTTGTGTTTGTCCAAGGATTACTTCCCCGGTCCGCCTGCAAGGCGAGGACCCCAGACAGGAACAAGCTGCTTCACACGTAAAACAATGATTGTAATAGTGTTGAGGCAAGAAAAAGAAAGTTAACGGATGTTCTATAAATCAATGAAAAGCATTGGAGAGGTGAAGCATACCCTGCATGCACATTGTATATGATTCATAATATATATTCTCTCTCTCTCTCACACACACTTACACAAACACTGACCCGTGTTATGAAAAGAAAATCGTATGTGTAGTCGATTATAACTTCCATAAAGTTTTTACCATCCTCAGCAGGCATGCGGACACCCGTCTTTCGTTCCATCCCATCTTACCCCCCTTTGACCACTCAGCTTCAAACATAAATTATCTGGAGAATCCCCCCCAGCCACGAGTAATGTTCCCACCAAGTGTGGTGAAAATCTGTCCACGCACTGTTGAGTTATTTTGTGTACACAACCAACTCCTGGCTTAACAAGTGCAATGATATCCAAGAAGTTACTGGGCCCAGCCAAAATATTCTGACACATTAAAAAAACAATTTATCATGCGATATATGAAAATACAGAGTGAACGTTACCCTTGAAGGTTGTTTCCCCTTCTCATGAGTCGTCATGGTTATAGCTAAACTGTCTCCTGGCTTTAACTTTAGATTTTAGATAAGATAAATCATCAATCTTCTTCTAATTCTTGGCCAAAAAAAGGAAAACACTGAATAATTTCACAAAATGTTGAACCCTTACTTTAATGCATTTAATAAAATCTTCAAATTAACTTAAAATGTCACAGATACGGGTGGTTGTCTGGAAATGTTTAATACACTTGGGATCTGCTCCTGTAAAAGGCTTTTGTAGAAATATCTCAAATGATTTGTTAAGACCTTTTTTCATTTGTTTTGACTTTGAGTTTATAAATTCCTGTTTTATTTTGAAAAGGTTTGCCTTGTGTTTCACCTGAGCCTAATTATCTCGAACTCCTCCGTGAACTTCGTCTCTTTGCTCCGCTCTCCTTTGTCGGTTCTCTTGTGATTCTTCCCTTGGTCCCTGATGTTTCCTCTTCTTGTTTTGGTTTGTTAGTCCACCACACACATTTCAAACCTGGTCCAATATCAACAACATCATTTTTTCGATACCTTACTAGAAGGATTCAACATACTTTTCCACAATACCCTTTATATAAAGCCAAACTTCTTAAACGTTATACTTTCTGAACATCAGCAGTTGTTTTGGAGCCCACACTGAATACAATCTGAAATTTGAAAAATGTCCAAAAATGAAACCAGCTTTTGGGACTTTGACGCAATTAAACTGATGAACATGTTGTTGTAACATATCAACGTTGTTAGGATGAGTCGCATATCTACAGCACATCCTGAGAACATCCTCTCTACATTTCCAATATTTCGATGAAAACTTGGCACAGGCAGAAGTTCCACGAGCCAAACTTTGTTTCTGTTCTCGGGAGTCAGAGTAATAGATCTTCTCGTTCCCCTGCCTGTGGAGACAGTAGAAAGTGGTTGAGAGCAGCGTTTCTTGAGAAGGACGGCCTGTGCCAAACCAAGCTGTTGAGCAAAGGAAGGGAGCAAAAACTATTGTCGCTGTCTTATCCCTGTGAAATTCCCATCATTCTGCCTCTCAACGAACATGATTGTGCTGCATAAACAGAGGTTTAAAAGGATATAGTGACATGTGGGCAGCAGCTTGTTTCTCTTGCATACTGGGAGCTCATACGAGAAAATGGTGTATATGTTTCTCTACTTAATGCTACGAGAAGGCCACACAGCATGCTGGGGGATCCAAGGAGAAACCTATCTATTTTAGGGGTGACTTCCTCTATGAGAGTTTATTTTCACTGATAACTTGGGCCAAAACTAACAATCGGATGATGCAGAAAGGCTAAGAGATGCTCTGAGGAATAAAGAGTTCTTCCTTCCTGACCCCAAAACTTGTAAAAAGGAAACCCTGGTAATTGCATAAGGACGTTACAATAACAGCTTCCAGATACGTTGTTGGTTGCACTTGACTGAAACAAAAAGGAAATGGGGCTTTCTGCTTAGCATGTCATGGGAATAGGGAAAAACATCACAGCCATGGCACGGTATTTCCACATGGAAATGAAACTGTGGGCCATGGTAGAGGATTTTTTCAGAAAAAGTGGTATTTAGGGGTTTTGTCATGCTCAATATGAAAAACCTTTTTAGCCTTTGAGCGACCCACCTG